TTCATGTGAATATGACTGAACAATTTCATTTTTTCTCAAAAAGGTGGTGTCTATTTACTTGTGACCACGCTGTGTACATACAATAACGTCTTCAGAAAGATGGTGTCATAGAACACCGAAACATATGTTGAATCTTTTTTTAGGGCAAGTCCCTGTTTTAATAACTATTTATTGTGTAAGGATTTTAACGTTGTATTCCTTTTAATTATATATACATAGATGTTTTGTACAAGTTTCGTTTTAAATTACTTAACAAATAACACCATTGAAGAAAATAATACTTGAACATTGGAATAGTGTTGGGTATTTGTGAGGACTCTTGAATATTACAAGATAGTCACTGCCAAACATAGAAAAAATTCCGTATTTCTGCACAAAATTAACATACCAGGATAACCATTAAAACCGTGGAGTCTTTGCTAATATGTGACACTGATATGTCTCAACACCATTCTTTAATTTGAAGCACAAAGTGCCTAAAATTCTGTTTTGTGTTATTTTTTGAGGCAACATACCTATTATTTCCCGCTGATTTCGGCAAATTGAACCAGGTTTTGAAAAAAGCACTATTTAACAGATAAAATAATGCGGTGTCTTTGTTGAAAGCTAAGCAAAAATGCAAGATAATTACTCACAAAACACACACACACACACACAAACACTATAGTTAGGCCTAGTTGGGGATACTTTCTACAGTTTTGGTCTCCTGTCTAATTGGGAAGGGCTCAGAGGAAGGCTACTGTGCTGATTACAGGGATGGAAGGGTTATTTTACAGGATAGGTTAAGATTTCTTAACGTATTTTCACTTAATAAAAGAGGAGGAAGAGGTGTTTTTATTGAAGTGGATAAGATAGTATAAGACCTGTGATCTCTTTGTGCTATATTCTGAAGATAGTAGGACGAAAGGAGATTACCAATTGCTAGGGACAGTTAAGACAGCTTTATTTTTCTAAGAGGACTTATCAAATGAATTATCTTAACTGTAATGGGGGTTAGAACTTTATAGAAGTTTAAGAGGATATTGGGGATTTTCTGAATAATAAAAGATGAGTTTAAATTCTTACTTTTCTCAAGAATAGGTATACAAGGATAACATTGAAAGACCAAATTGTCTCGTGTTGTGCGAGGATTGTGATATGCTTTTGCATACCAAACGCTCATTGTGATCTAATTAGCTATATAATCAAAATACAAGTCTCTGGGGTAGGCCTTCATTATCCCAACTAATCAGATATCCTTATTCTGAAGCTATAGAGCTACTAATAATGTTTGACCCATGGACGTCCCATAGTATAGCGCCCCCTAGTTATCAAATAATATATTACACGTAAATATTGATTCCAGATTCGGAATATAAATATTTACAAACATCAAGAATGTTGAATCCGTTGTTAGAATACAAAAGACGATTTTTCTTTGTAAGAGGGATCATTGGATTATTCTTTGTTTCAATCGGGAGATTAAAAATATCAGTATGTTTTAATTTAAAGTGATAAGCTCCGTTCCATCATGATTGGGAGAAGGGTTAAATTTTAACTTAAAATATGTTCCATATCGAGATACCTTACGAACGTATCTTAATGTGTTAGGGCAGTCCAAGCATGTTGAACGAGAACTATGGAGAGAAAAGATAAGACAATAACGGCCTTGCATGTCTCGAGAAACGAGCCCTTGGTGACATCATACGCTTTAGAGATTCACCTCAATGTGTTGTGAAGCTGCTATTTGGTAACAGGGAACTTGTAAGATTTTAATTTCAACTAGAATGTTAAACTGACAGTAACTCTTGTGCTTTTGAGTGTTTACACGAAAAAAAAAAAGATGTTCTCTACTTGAAATTTGCTCTAAAACGGTTACTGCCTCTGAAAAACGGCCTCGTGTAGTCAATTTTTATTCTACTTTATATATTCAAAGGTACAGTTTATTTTATTTATTTGTTTGTAAAGCACAGATAATTCAGTTATTCTGCTTCGCGATAAACGAGCCAATGACTTCGTCGAAAATTTAGCCTGCGACGTCTGGCGGCGTGTCTTGGCGATTCGCCAACATCCTGTAACTTACGATCACGCGAAGCATTATATGAAAAATCTCTTTGAAACCAATGACAGTGATTTGCATGACCACTGACCATGAAAACGATTAAAAAAAACTATGAAAAGGTAACGCCTGAGTTTGATCATTAAAACATCCAGCCCCTTGTAAATTGGTATAAAAATTGCACAAAAAAGCGACATATCAAACTAAACAGATTTTTCAGTGCTAAAGCAGTTCTTATTCACAAATAATGATATATATATATATATATGTGTGTGTGTGTGTGTGTGTAGATTTTTATTGACTTCCAGTTTCTTTCTATCAAGTTTTTATAGCAGGTGAAGCTTTCTGGCATTTCTCTGTATCTTTATTTTAAATAACGATAAAACTTTGTAGAATATGCGCATATAAATAATAATACGCATTCGTTTGCTATTTCGTTTCAAATTTCTCGAGTTTGGAAACTCTTCCGTTGTAAACAGCGCACGTATTAGTAGTCTGTTTTGCTACATTATGATGGACCAGGAACAGCTGGTACTTGGAACTAATTGAATTATTTGGGGGTGAATAATTTCAGATACAGCAATAGCTAGTTCAGATATACATAATTGTTTAACATGTTTAACTTTCAGTTCATCGTCTTGTTTCTTTCTCAACTGTATTTAGGGATGAACGTTTTACTGTATAAGCAGACTAACAAAGAGCAAAGTATTAACATTGAATATGTAGAACTTGTGCTTAGAGAGAGAGGTAATTTTAAATGCTTAGGTATTTCACAAGTTAAGAAAACTATCGAACACTCTTGTTTTTAGACGGAGACATTTTTATATTATAATCTAGACGTGGGTAATTTTTCACTTTCAGGAAAGTATTTTATTCGCTGATATTAAATAAAAACAATTTACCAGTATAATATTTAACATAGCGTCAACATAAAAAACAACAACTGTAAACTTCATAATACAAGACAAAAAAAGTCGTGCTTAATTAGCAGTAAACAATTCAACATTCGCAGTTAATTCCCAACTAAAGTTGACTTATGTACGCTCAATGGGATTTTGATGGATGTTTGGTATATTAGAAAGATAACAGCTTCGTGAATGACATCGGATTGTAAGGCTGCTTAACATGCCGATTTGGTTATAAAAACAACAGTTATTTTTAACAGCCATTATAGAGACGAAGAGTATATCAATAGTTCGCTATAGGATTCCAGCCGTGTTTTACCCATTCGCTACAAAATTAGGCTTATTTGTTCACCTGAACACAGTGGGTTAAGCGTCAGGGTCAAAGACCCTAATAGTTCATGTATACTTGTTCCTAATTTTGAACTGCGAAACAGACTGAATGCAACCAGTTAGCAACACTCGCCGCCTCAAACGGCCAATCTTAACCGAATAGCGGAATTGATTTTCAATATTATAACGCATCTACAACCGAATGTGAGAAGCTGCTTGTTAGTACTTGGTCTCGAACCAGAGACCTTCAGACCCCTAGTTCGTTGCATTAATCACTAGGTCACGTTCAACCCATAGATTTAGGAATTCCTAAGGTATCGCTT